TGTATATATACACATATTTACATACATTACACACGGAATCATATGCAATCAAACAAACAAATGCACGCAGACAGAAGCATACTGTCCAGACATACATCCAAGCATAAAAACATTTGCCTGCACACACACACACACACACACACACACACACACACACACACACACACACACACACACACACACACACACACACACACACACACATACAAACACACAAACACACACAAACACACACAAGCACACACACACAAACACACACACACATACAATGTTTAACTGTGATTCTGAAACTGTCAGTGCTTAAAGGTCCAGTCAATTTTGCTCTGTACACAATAATGATAATGTAACGTATTTAGCTGATATCACATATTCCAAGTACCTAAAACACCCTTCTCTGTGGATATAGAGGTTATGGTCTTAGCGTTAGAAATTATTCGTTTTATACAGGGTATCATCTCTTTATGATATAAAAAAGAGAAATATCTAGGTTAGTGGTATGACATTATTTTTCGCTTTTCAAGATATCTAAGTATCTTGAACTAACTATACACATACTTTTTTCCCTTGATTTTCACCACATCACGTGTCTAAAAACAAACATCAATAACAAAGGCCTTATTTCCCCCTCTCGTTATGGGCGAGATTATGGCTACCTCGTCACGTGATGCTGTGATTGGGGTACTCTTGCCCATTAACTCCTCGTACACACTATATAGAATCTTTCGTACGTGAATTCATATACTTCAGCCTCCCTTTCTTTATTTCTCTGCCCTGTTTGTCTCTGTCTGTTTGTCTGTTTGTCTGTATGTTTGTCTGTCTGTTTGTCTGTCTGTCTGTTTGTTTGTCTGTCTCTGTCTCAGTTTCTGTCTCTGTCTCTATCTCTGTCTCTGTCTTTGTCTGTCTGTTTGTCTGTCTGTCTGTCTCTGTCTCTGTCTCTGTCTCTCTGTCTCTCTCTCTCTCTATCTCTGTCTCTGTCTCTGTCTCAGTTTCTATCTCTGTCTCTATCTCTGTCTCTGTCTTTGTCTGTCTGTTTGTCTGTCTGTCTGTCTCTGTCTCTGTCTCTGTCTCTGTCTCTCTGTCTCTCTCTCTATCTATCTCTGTCTCTGTCTCTGTCTCAGTTTCTGTCTCTGTCTCTATCTCTGTCTCTGTCTTTGTCTGTCTGTTTGTCTGTCTGTCTGTCTCTGTCTCTCTGTCTCTCTCTCTCTCTATCTGTCTCTGTCTTTGTCTGTCTGTCTGTCTGTCTGTCTCTCTGTGTCTTTCTCTATCTATCTCTCTCTCTGTCTCTCTCTGTCTCTCTCTCTCTCTCTCTCTCTCTCTCTCTCTCTCTCTCTCTCTCTCTCTCTCTCTCTCTCTCTCTCTCTGTCAAGCAAAAATACATGTGCATATATAAACACACATGCACGCAACCATACACGCCTACACACACACACACCGCTTGTGCAGAAGGACGAGGCAAAGCTCCTTTAGCGGGAAATGCTGATCTCAGAGATGGAACATGAAGGTGCAAGCAACGAACAATTATTTCTTCCAATAGCATGTTACGTAATATGTGGTAACTAGCTTTCCCCAACAGCCAGAACACAGTATACAGTACACATAGTGTATTGCGCGCGCTCTCACCTCCGTCAGGTTTGTGACAGCTAGGTCTTCACACTCCGTCTCTGAAAAAGTTTTTTTTTCAGGGGGATGGGGGGAATTTTCACAGTTTTCGACATTTTGGGGAGTAGGAATGTCGCACTTTTATAATGCTCCCCCTACACTTGCGTGACGCATATACTGACTGATTTGCGTTGATCCAGGGAAACGTTAGGGTTACAGAATATGCACCAATTTTTCCCCATTTTTTCCTGATTCGAAAATTGCAAGCTTTGATCCTCTGTGCAGCGTATAGATTGCATTCGTTAGAGAAAACGTTGAAAATGTGAGCGAACAGACAAAATATTGCAACACTGGCATTACTCTATGAAAGTAACAGAAACAAGGCTTTTGCCAACGAACTGCTGCTGCTGGGCGCTCTCTGTGAGCTCATGACCCCGGTGCATCGCTCAGTGCCATGAGGGCGTGGATCAAGGGGCACAGGGCAAGAGGAGGCCATGAGAAGGACATGAGGAGGATATGAGAAGGGCGTGAGGGGGATATGATGAGGATATGAGAAGGACATGAGGTGGATATGAGGAGGACGTGAAGAAGACGAAAAGCAGGACAAGAATGGTAGTAAATGATGCGATGTGAGGAAAGGAAGCGATATGATAAGAGAAACGAAAGAAGCAGAGAGTGAGTGAGGAGGAATGAGGAACTCGGCAGATCAGAGGACGGATTATGAGGGTGCAGTTGGGATGTGACGTGGAGGATGTGAAGGATGGGAAGAGTACAGTTATATGAAAAAGAGAGAGTGAGAGGGTGAGAGAGAGAGAGAGAGAGAGAGAGAGAGAGAGAGAGAGAGAGAGAGAGAGAGAGAGAGAGAGAGAGAGAGTTATTTAGCATAGTAACTGCATTTTAT